AAAAAATGTTGACTTCAAGTACATTCAAGTACATTAAATGAATCATTCTCCTTTTAATTCATGTTAAGTCATAGGAAATTTCATGATAAATACGTTTGCAAAAATACGTTCTTATCATTTAACTACGGCCACGATATTAATGGGAGCACATATTCAAGCATGCTATAGCGTCGTATGTAGCCAGAAAGCAATCCATCAGTCGATTTAAATCTGTTGTGTTGGAAAAATACCCAAGCGAAACAGTAAGATGAGATTCTATCATGACGATGAATTTCATCGTGGAATAGCGGCTAGCGTATATACGCAACACTTCTCCTTTCTCACTTCTGCATGCGCTATGGAGCTACAGTCATGTATAGGTGTGCGTGAATAGCATACTATGTTTAACACAGCAGCAGTGAGAAAGGAGAAGTTTTGCACACACGCGCTCGCCGCTAGTCCACGATGAAATTCATCATCACGATAGAACCTCATCTTACTGTTTCGCTTGGGTAGATCTTAATTTTTTATTTAATTGTGACTTAGTTTATTTAGGAAATCATCGGAAAAGGAAAAAAATTGAAAGTTGTCGAAAACTTGTAATCATCATCAGAAGAAATGAAAGAAAAATCTAATTATTTTGTTTTTCAGATGATTTTGCAATTTTTCTTTTTTAAATTAAGTTTCTTTAATGATTATTACCATTTTTCGATTTATTCAGACGTAAAACAGTTTATTTATATTATAAAATTCATCTTTTTTTCATCAAATTTCGTAGAAATATAGAACATTCTTTTCTGATTCATTCACTTACATTAAAGACTTTGTTCGAAGATTATTTTCGTACTTATTTCATGAATGAAAGAAATTATAATGTAATTTTCATTTCCTTCAAACCAACAGTAAGGTGACGACAAGATGTGTAAGGCTATTTCAAAAACTTGGCTTTTCGTTTTCAATTTCATCTTCTTTGTATGTTCTAAAAATCGAAATATATTTTTGTTGCCAAATATAATAGGCTTGGATTGATTTTCAGATTGGAGGCGTAGCATTGTGTACATTAGGTGGCTTGATACTAGCTTATCGTGAAAAAGTGGGTAGGTATCGATATTATATCTTTAAATTTAATTTTTTTTAAAAACATTTTGAATGTTTTAGATGCTGTTAAAAATGCCGAAGAACCATTGAGCCTTGGGATTGTACTTGTGGTTATTGGTGCCATAATCATGATCGTTACATTCTTAGGGTGTTTTGGTGCAATTTCAGACAATAAATGCATGCTTCTAACGGTAAGAAATTTATGTGACAAAAACATATCAGTTTTAGAGAAAAAAAAATGGATTTTTTTAGTTCGCCATACTTCTTTCGTTGATTGTTGCGGCTCAAGTTGGTGTAACAGCTTATGGTGCGGTACGAATAGATTTACCAAAAAGATTAACGTCTGTTATTGTTGGTTCACAATGGAACCAACAATCACATAAGAGTCTCATCGATTGGTGTCAGAAAGAGGTAGTAAAAGGATCGATTTGATGCACGCAACAGAATTTTGATCATTATACTTGCTTTTACTTGATACGAAAATGCTATTCCTATTTATGATTAAATTGACTTTTTTCACAGTTTGAATGCTGTGGTTATAGGAACTATAACGATTACAAGAATGACACAAACCTTATATTACCATCGACTTGCTGCAAAGGCCATGAAAATGACCACAAATACAACTGTCCTGAGAAAGATGCGTACAAGAAGGGATGTAAACAAGCTTTTTTGGACTTCTTGGAAAATTATCGTGCTATCATCATTGGCGTTGTCGTTGGCTTCGCCCTAATCGAAGTGCGTAAAATATATCAATGTCTGGAATTGTTTTAATGTTCGGTTTTACATTTCTCCTTTTTCCCCTCTCTTATTTTATTCAGCTCGTTGGCATTGTCTTTTCATGCGTTTTGTTCTTCAGAAAAAACAGAGCAGTACACTACTAATTCATGGTTTAATAAGTTCAATCGCGCTACAAAATCGCAGACCCAAAGTTTCCACTAAATGAAATCGATGAAAACATTTTTTTCAACGCCTGCGTTGTAAACTTTAGGTGTTCCTTGATATCCATACTTTAAGCAAACAATGAATATGTTTGAAATGTACGTCAACTTTTCTTTTCTGTGTTGAATAAATTGCAAATAAGCAAATATTCGGAGTTGTAACAATATCATGCTAACTTATCCGACATTTTTATTTGAATTTCAACCATCTAATTCAAATGCCAAAATAGATACTTTCATTTTTTCTTTTCTTTACGTGACCCATATAAAATGGTTTCGGTCTTAATTTTTCTTAGTTAAATAAAACCAATTGAGTCAACGCTATGAAGTAGAAATGGTCTTTCGATAACATTATCAAAGTCCGAGTGAATAACAGAAATGAAATAATTTTTTCTCGAATGCAAAATGCATAAACGTATGTGTGGCCGTCTTTATTTACTGTATGTGGCTATGTGTATTGAAAAGAAAAACACGAACTGGAAAGATTCAGTCAGAAGCATTCATCTCTAAAGATTGCATTCAAATTACATTAAAGGATTGTCATTGTTAGTTCAACGATGGAGACTTTTACAATAGAGAGTACAACGAAACCAAGTTTTCAACCAGGATGTGGTAATTTAGAGAAAAAAAAACTGTCACTAAATTTTGATAGAATCCGAGAAAAACTGGGCATTTTTTTACATTTTCCATTTAGCAATGAGATCTAATTGAATCTAACCTCCAAAAATAGGAAAACGACGGCACCGAAAAGGTGTGAAAAATGCGAAAATGTTTATTTATATAAATAATAAGCTTCTCCTGGTAAGAAAAACTGCATCTTGATTCGACGATCATATAATATTATGTCTGATTTTTAGCTGACAAGTTTGATATTGCTCGCATTGGCCGTGTTCGTTCATGTCAAATATGATTGGATTTCGCAAGGTAACACCAACATAATTGTGTCATCAAGTAAATTGAAATGTAATGAGTTTCTGTTGTTGTAAATTTCAGAGCCGTCAACATTTCTAATTGTTGTTGCTTTTTTGTCATTATCCCTCAGTGTGATGCTAATATTGAAAATATGCTTCGTTTCGAAACAAAAATCGTGCCCATTTCTTTTTGTAAGTTTATTTTCGACACGATTTCAAATTGAAAATTTCAATCTTTTCAAATTCAATGAATGGCATTTCAAATTCAATGTATGGCATTTTCCAGTTTTCTGTATTTTTATTTGGGCTTGTGTTGATGATGATCGGGATTGGATTTTATATGAATACGGTAATTGTCGAAGACATTATAGACGTTTTGGATAGAGTGCATAGCAAAGAAAAGCAATTCAGGGACATGTGGAAAGGCGTTGAAAAACTGGTGAAAATTGTATTTTATCAAAACATTAACGAGAAAATTTTAGAATAAATCGAAATTGATAATATTCATATCTCAAGAATGAAAAAAACTATTTTCGATATTTTTGTCAGTTTCATTGCAGTGGCATCGTCCGAAAAACTAATCCATACAGAAAACCTTGTGCTGATGCAATCAAATCGTTTCTCACTGAAAACATCGAGATATTCGAAATAGTTGGAGCTGTTTTCGGTGCTATTCAAGTATGTAGAAGTAGATTCCATTTTGCTTTTTTACATTTCCTACTAAACAAATTTTTGTAACAATTCTTTGCAGCTCATCGATATCGCGCTTTCAATTTATTTATTTAGGCGGTTCAGACAGCCATAAACTAAATATTTTAAGTTATGTATGTGTACTTCAGTTGCTGAATCAAAGCAATTAGTAATAGTGAAGTTAATCATCGAATGGAAAAAAAATCTTGAAACGAAAAATTCTTGGATTTATCAATACATTCAATGAATCATTTTAATGTTTAATCTCAAACTCATTTTGTACTTGGATAGTGTGTTTGTGAACACTTTTTATGAAAAATTGATATTACGCAAAGCTATATGATTTGGAATTTAATTCTATTGTTCTACAAATTGTATTTCTTAAATTTAATCACATTGATGGATTGAGCCACTAACAAACACAATGCAAATCTAGTTTAAATTTGTTTTTGAAAAGAAAAAAAAAATTGGTCTTCAATTCTTGCAAGTGATGAGTACCCACAAACACATCGAAGTTATCTTTGAAAATTTAAGTTAAATTTAACCGCAAAAATTCATAGAAATTATACTTTTTTTGATTTTTAGTGAATAAATTGCATTTCAATACTTTAAATGTTATCTACTGCCTGAGTCAATTTTTAGCGTACTGAATCCATCTGTAGCTTTTTTTCGTTTCATATAAATAAGATGTGGCGATAATATCATTTTTTTGAAACTTCTTTTAACATTAAATTCCCATTTATTTGGAGTCTTATCGTATTTTGAATGAGCAACATAGCCAAAATACACTGCATTTAAGTGTATATTTGTTGGATGACGCATTTCCCATTGGTTTATGAATAACGTTGTATAAAATTTTTTGATTAATGTCACGTGATAACGTCTCGCAAAAATTATTTTCAAGGCAAGAAACCGAAAAAGTCAAAATTTAAGCTCTTTGTTATTTGATACGCGCATAGTTTATGTTCGGATTTTGCTTGGTTTGGTTGCAATAATATCTTTTCATTTGGTGAAATTAAAATTTTCGATCAAAAAATTTCAACAGCAATGGCACAACGTAGATATCTAGCAAACGGTAAATTATTACACTTACTTCTTTGATAAAAAAAAATGGTGTAAATGTAAAAAAAATAGTCAAAATATATGGTAACAAAGTCGCAGTGAAGACTATTTAAGAAAAAAAAATCATTTCGAACATTCAACATTTCATTGCCATTCATTGCTATTCATTGAAAGTATATTGAATTTAATAAGAATAATTTCTATCCAAATTTCAAAGATCGTGGCAAAACGCACGGTGGCTGCGACGGCATCGCGCGTGCATATTCGTTCATTTTTAACGTTGTACTCGCAGTAAGTGTTCTAAACTTGTCGAAATCGGAATTATCTGATTCACTTGGTGATCGTTTAATTTCAAGGGTATTTCGTTCGTATTATGCGGATTTTGTGCCAGTGGTCTTTATGAATATTACGATCTTCAAATTCATGGAGGTAAACCAAATTACTTCTTGATTTTAATAAATTAAAAATGTTGGCATTCATTTAACGCAAATTAATATGCAACGAATATGTTTCTTCAATTGCAGTCCAAATATTGTATCACACAATACTTGCCTTGGCGATTTTCTTTGCAGTACTGTTTCTGGTTGCACTTCTGGCTGTCTATAGCATTGCAAAATCCGATTCTTGCTTGAATATTTTCGTAAGTTCTTCGGATTATCACCCAATTTCGTTATATGATTTCTGTTATTTGCTTTTAGTTGTCACTAATGAGCGCTGTAATGATTTTATTGGTGGTCACTGTTAGCATTTTCATTTACAGCAATAAAAGGGTGTTCATCGAAAATTTAGAACGTCTTTTTAACGAGGTCGAATCTAACTATGGTGCGAATTACAAATTTTTGGAACTTCTTCAGAATCAGGTAAAAGTTGACACATTTAAAATAAATGCGTTGGAAAGAGATTAAATCGATATTTCATTTCTAGTTGAATTGTTGTGGAGCCACAAATAATACCGCTGCAGAGCTGCGCACGGTTATGCCAACGCTAAACTGTGACACTACAAGGAATAGCTGCATCACTGTCATCGAATCATTCTTTGTAACTTATTCAAACCATTTTCCCATTGTATCTCTTTCGTTGGGTATTACAAAGGTAACTCGACGTTTTTCTTCTTTGATTTCGTCCGATATATTTTGAATATTTCATTTTTCCCCTACAGGTAATCGATCTAGTCTGTTGTTTGTACTTAAATTCACGATCAAATAGCTACAAGCGATTTTAATCGAAAGTCACCACAAGCACAGGAGAAAGTTCCCAAATTACTTTGTATTTAATGACAATTTGCTGTTCAATGAAAAAATCACATAAAGTCATTTGCTGGAATAAAGATATCAGTGAGACTTTTATTCGCAATTTGTTTATTTTTAGCCTAGAAAAAGAATCAATTGAACAAATGAAACACGACCGGAAGCAGATACCATAAAATAGCTATTGTCACTCGGTGATTTAGTTGTTGGTGGACGACCTAATCTAATCTCATTTTTTTTGTCTTATAAATTGGGCTTACTTTTCCAATCAAATCATTTTGATTTCGTTAAAACAATATCGTCACGCCGATGTACTTGTGTCTCCTTGACTAAAGAAATCGGGCTGATTCAGTCGTTGTTTATACATCGTTTGGCTTGAACGATACTTCAATTGTGCTTCGGTGCTTGTTTTTTTTTATTGAGCGACAACTGTTATTAAGTGATTTCGTTGTGATTTTCGCTTGTGAGTAAATGAATTCTTTGAAGAAAAATGTTTTAAAGAATTTTTTTTGACTCTTATACAATGTGATAAATGTGATTTACACATGAATTAAACTCAATTTGAGTCATTTCTCTACCAAGAAGACCAATGGAAAAAAACACGATATTCTAACGACTAAAGTGCAAAAATGGTCGTTCAGTTTCTTAACAAATAACATTTTGTCTACCAAAAGACCAATTATCATAAAAATGCATGCGAGTATTTGACAAACTGAATAGAACATGATTTAAACATTCGATTTGCGGACAAACATTTCATTCAAAAATTCGTTGTTCATTTAATTTTGGGTAATTTCTGCTTTAAATCATCATTGATTATGATGTCATACGCCGAAACGACGGCGTACTTCAAGTGTGATAAGAATTGATAAGCATAATTTCTGCTGGGCTGTGTCGGCCATTCCATTCGCCTCCTACTTCTAGCATAGAAAAGTTCTAAACGCGAATTGGAGGCAAGTGATTGGCATTGCACATATTTCAATTATTATTAGCGGTGTGTGTTGGAACTTTGTTGTCAGAACACGCTCTGCCTACAAACTAACGTCAAATTCATAGGCATTAAGTGTTCTTATCAACAATTTAATATAACGATATATTTGAGATATGAAATCAGTGTTATTCTTACTCAGACTCACTCAATTTGTATAAAGCGTATTGAATGAATAGCAGCTGAATGTGTTTAAATCGTGTTCACTTGTACTTCGAACGATCTTACTTTAAATGCAAAAACAATGAGTGTATTTCAACGCTTCGAAAGTGAATGTCCTTTTTTAAACATTTCGATTAATCAAACGAATTCGTGAATAAGATTCTTTTTGTAAAGCTATTGTTATAAGTCATAACTAAACTATAAAGTAGTAATAATCATTCGTTAATATTACTCATTTACAGTCGAAGAGAGCAATTTCAACAGAACAGGCAAAATGGAACAAAAGGATATACCGTGTGCCAAGTGGACGGTTTTTAGTGTTAGTCTGATTTTTAGCGTGAGTTCAATTGAAAACCATCCAGAGAATAATTCAAAATCCGTAAATAATTCTTTTGATTTTCAGTTACTCGGATTGGCATTACTTGTAGGTGGTACAGTCATTCTATTTACATATAAACACCATGAACATTTCAACGGTAAATGTACCTTTAATCCGAGTCTCGGATACGTGTATTAATATCATTTTGTTCTTTCAGCCGCACAGACTCGATCAGTTCCGATGATTTTCATTTACATCGGCTCATTTGCCTTTGTATTTGCTTTGTTGGGTGCTTGCGGTGCAATTACAAAAAGTGCCTGCTTAAACTACTTTGTGAGTATTTATTTGGAGAAATTCAGTAAATTCTAGTGTTTAAAATGAACATTTTAAATTAATTCTAATATGTGCCATTTCTATAGGCGTCCATTGTATTCTTCCTTTTGTTGATGATTCAAATGGGATTGCTGATTTTTGGCTCTCTCAAGCAAAATGACATGAACACCTTTTGGAATAACAGTTTCGATGACATGCTCGAAAATCATAATGCTCACAAAGAGACATGGGATTTCATGCAGAATCAGGTGAATGACACGATTTACATAATGAAATGGATTAAAAAAATATTCTTGATTCCGTTGTTCTCCTTATCAAAGGCGTTTCTATAAATATGTTTATTATTTTTAGTTGGAATGCTGTGGTGTTAACAGCCCAAGTGATTGGGTTAATGTAAATAACAGCACAGACTTACCAGCTTCATGTTGCCCCGCATCAAATGACAACAAGTGCACCGAAACAGTTGCACATAAACTTGGATGCAAACACGAGCTACTCAATTTCTTCGAAAATCATTCATGGATTCTGTTCGGTGCGATCACTGCCATCGTTCTCATTCAGGTATAAGAAATCGATTTGATTGAGTGAAACCAATTTTTTTAACACAATTATTGCGCAATTTGCATTTCTGCTCATTTCATCATGAATTTTGCATTTATTTTTTATTGCAGATGCTACTCTTTGGATTGTCTTGCTCATTATACGGTGTATACCAGAGAGGAGCAGAAAACTATTATACAGAAGAACTCACATCTTTTTAATTAGGACTCTGTACCAAGAAATGAATCAACGATTGCATGATTAGGAATTCAGAAGAATAATTTGATAATGATAGATTTGAAATAAGCTGATTTTGTGATTTACTAAAACTCTCGGTTGGAATTGTTTGTTTTTCTTAACACATATACTACATTATTATCATTATAATGATTCATCAAAGATTTTATCGTGTCGTGAAAACAGAAAATGAAAAATAAAATTACCAATGTAAGATAAAAGTACATATATCCACTGTGAATTACATACTCTATTTTTACAGCTTCAAGTTGAAACCAAAACTTGAAACGAATGAATCAGCACATTAATCATGTTCTTTCAGAAACAAAAGAAACGCATTTTCTGAGCTGCCGAGCCACAATTGAATTTTTATTTATGTTGTTTCTTTCGATATCACACGTCAAAATTAGTGGAAAAAAAACAACCAAGCAAAAAAAATGCCAAACTTTTATATTTGTATGAAATTTTCTCTTTTTTACCTCAATCTATTTTTCATGGTGAGTGAATCGTAGTTGATGTCCTAATTTTTATTTTTATTTTTAAATTCATTTCAAAATGATTTTTCAGATGATTGGCACTTTGATACTTTTGTTTGGTGGCTATCTATATACGGCAGATATGCGCATTAAAACGACATTGGGTACTTTGAAAATTAAACAAACATTTTATGAATAATGATCTATATAATAGTCGATTATAGCCCGTGTGTAAGCAAAATGACTAACAGTCACTCAGTTGTATGTAACTGTGTGTAGTGGTACACTACTGAAACTGGCTAAGTTGATTGAAATCAACTACTATTTTTGTATGGAAGATAATCATGCTTATAAGCTATAGTCATTCTTTCAGTCAGCCGACTAATTTGTGACATTTTGACTGGAAATTGACTAACAGTGATTCACAAATAAAGTTAACTACTATTTTGAACGAGATAATCACTTTTAGTTAGTCACAACTTGTGACTCACACGGCAATCGATTATCGTTGACTTAACAATTTGGATTAGAGCCAAAAAAAAAACTGAATTTCCATCAATGGATGTCTGTTTGAAACCCACGAAAAAATTGTTTTTCTTTCATCGAATGATAGGTGATCGACTGAGTTCAGTGCCTCTTATAGTTATGTCAATTGGCTGTATTGCTTTTTTCATCGCTTACCTAGGCTGTAATGCGGCATTTTCACGCTCTCAACGCAGTTTAGTTATTGTAAGCCACTATCGATTAAATGACCAATCAAAATATGCTAATCTCACTAGAATCTCTCTTCAGTATTCAAATTTGACGCTGTTCAGCCTGTTTCTCGAAATTCTAGTTCTACTTACCATATCGACTTTTCCGGATGCAGTGAATCAAGCTGTGGAGCAATTTCTGTTCGCAAAATTGCACAGTTTTTGGAACAATGCTAAATTTTGGGAATTTTTACAAATTCAGGTGTTAAAGACGCGTTAAACTGCAATTATGCAATGATTTAAACACCATGGTGTTTAAATTGAGTGCGCTCAGTTGTATATTTAATGCAAATTTATTCTCATATTGACAGTTCGATTGTTGTGGTGTATACAGTCCAATGGACTGGCAGAAGGTGTTCCTACACTCGTTGCTGCCACCATCCTGTTGTCAAAATATTCATAATGGAAGCTCATTGTGCTCTAAAGATTTATCTTCACAATTGGGCTGCAAAATTGCATTATCCTTGTTCGTAAAATCCAATTCGATGGTTTTTTATTTGGTGGGCACTTTCATTGCCGGAGTGCAGGTATTTCAAAAATAAAATCCATTCATTTATGAGCTTAATACAAACTGCTTTGATGATTTATTGTTGCAGATATTTGGCATCATATTCCCTTGTATTCCTTTCGAATAATTGACGGACCAGAGCCGGAGCTTACATGACAACCACCATTGGTGACAAATGAATTTTTCCAAAACAATTCTTCTAGGATTTATTTGAGATATTTATTATCGATTTTCTGAATCATTCACACTTTTGTAACACTTATGACAAATGGATTGTACCAGAGTTTTAAACTTAACCAATTATATAGAAATCGTATACTTTTCTTCGTGTGGATTCAAACTGTCAACAGATTCAATAAAAAAAAAATATGGCTTACGAATTATGAAATTTCGGACATCAAAATATAGAAATTGTACTGAGTATTCATATGCGTTATCACAAAGTGAAAATCAACCTGTTCGTTCAGTTGAACAGCTGTGGGAATTGTTCTCGGAAGTAAGCGTTGTTGGAGTTTTTGACCTTCTTCTGAATACTTTCCACGAGTTCGGTGATTTGTGCGTCAGCTGACGACTCTGTGTCAACTTCCATCAGCTTTTCGATCGCATCCACGAAGATTTTCGCCGCGTTTTCATCGTCTTGAGACTTCAATTGCGAATAATGATCCTCGCTTTCGTCGTAAACCTTTTGCGCTAGTTCAACGACTTCTTTCGGGAAATTTGCCAATTTCGCGACGTGAATACCGAAACTTTTATCCATAACGCCCGGTCGCACCTGATACAACAGCGTAAAAGTATCTTTATCCGATACGGCAACCATGTGACTGTTCTTCACCGTATGCACTGTGTTGGCCAAATCCGTGATTTCATGGAAATGAGTGGCAAACAAAGTGAAGCATTTCGTTTCTTTGGCCAAATGCCTGGAAAAAAAACCGTTTAAAGGTGAAACATTGAAATTTATTCGAATACAAGTCAAATTTGATGGCACTCACTCAGCAATCGACCAAGCAATGCCACAACCTTCATAGGTTGACGTTCCTCGACCCAATTCATCGATCACTACCAACGATTTTGATGTTGCGGTCTGAAAATCAATTCGAATCAAACATAATCAATATGAGAAATTTAAAAAGATCGACGTCAATTGCTTACTCGAATAATGCCAGCGGTCTCAATCATTTCGACCATGAATGTGCTCAGACCTTTGCTCATGTTATCATCAGCTCCGATGCGGCCCAGAATCGAGTCGACGTGTGGAATGTAAGCTACGTCACATGCTACGAATGATCCGATGTGTGCCATGAGCACTGCTGCTCCAACCGATCGAATGTATGTACTTTTACCGCCCATGTTCGGTCCTTTTCCGAAAGAAAATGCAATATACTTGATCAATATGAGCCAAGAAAACGTGTTTGAAATCGAATTTTACCTGTAATGATGTACATATTCGTTTCATCATCTTTGAACGTCACGTCGTTGGCAATGAAAGTGATATCTTCTTGCAGCTCCAAGCATGGATGTCGCATTCCTTTGAGATCAAGCACGCGTGGTGCTTGATCGAACATTTTCGGTTTAACATATTGTGTGGGTGCTGATACGGCTGCTATCGCAAAGCTCAACAGACAATCCAATTCGGCTATTTGATTATTGAGCCGTGTGAAAGTGCCTATGTAACCTGATGCAACTTCGATCACTCCTGCAACAATCGACTCCTGTTGCTCTTCGTACTTTGCTTTGGAATGTAAGAAGTCCTCATTCAAACGTTCCAACGCTTCGTTTGTGAATCGCACTCCATTTTTGAGCGCATCAATTCGCTTGTACTTCTTATTTCCGCGCAAACCTCCTTCATCTTTCAGAGTCACACGGAAATGATAGCCCAAATGCGATACATATTCCAGTTTCATTGATTCGATTCCAAGATCGCTGATTGCCTTGGAGTGTACCTTCTCCATTTTCGTTTCGAATTCGTCCATCGATTCTTTCAGTTCTTTTAGTTTTTCATCGAACGAGGAACGAACCAAAAATTCATCCTTTTCAATCGCTTTAACATCAATGATTTCCTCAACCATTTTCTTGTAACGGGCGAGTTCCTGCAAATTGTTTTCGAAATTTTACACAACTATGATTTAAATTTTGATCAAAAGAACAACACGTTTCAATTTGTCTCTAGGCAAATACTCACGACAAGTGCGTCTTTGATGGGACCACATAGTACTTCATTAATCGTAACACATTCTAGTTCTTCCAATGTGGCTACGATCTTCGGGACACGAATGACAACTTGGTACAAACGGTAAATGTCTTGTAGTGTTGCTCGCTTTCGCAACAGTTTCTTGCCAAGCATCTTGAAAAAAAAGGAAGAAGAAAAATTAGTTTTCTCATTTAGAACATTGCAAAATGCGAAAAGAATTTTAAACACAATCGTTTCGTACCAAAATGTCTGGCATTCGCTTCATATGATCTTCATAGAGGTCTGCTCGACCTGTGCTCGCATCGACGAAACATTCAACGATACTGTGACGATCTTTGATCAATTCTTCGTTTCGAAGTGGTTGCTGCAAGTATTGAAAATTGATTAAATTTGTATTTTTATTGGTTCATACTGGACGAAAAAAGGCCAGAATCGACCAAAAACTATATTGAAATTTCATTTGTTTTCCCTTCATTTCCGTTACTCACCTTAACCCATTGTGCCATCAAACGATGACCTTGCGGTGTTTGGCAACGATCCAATACGCCCAAAATGCTTTGCCATTTGTATGCAGGCGAATTGATAGCTGTACCTGGTTTCGGCAGCAAATTCAACGCTGAAACAGCGGCTGCATCCAAATGCACAAATCGATTGAGATTCATCAAAACCATTCTGTACTGACTGTGATTGCATCGATCCGACATCAAATCCAAGTACTGAATGGCCGCGTTCAACGATGACATTGCCAATTTCATTTTCACTACATCCAAAGAGTTTGCATTCTCTTGTTGGCCTTCTTTGAAATGAAGCAGTTTGTTCAGATCTTGGACGATATCATATTTTTCGAGTGAAAACTCGGACTTTTTCCGTGTGGTGACCATGACGTTATTTCGTTCGAGCAATTGAACAATACGTTCGAATTCTCCATCAGCTGATGGCAATAGAGCTTCCTTCGGTCCAAGCAGAACGATTGTTGCTTCCAGTTCCGAGTAAAAGTCATTGTCGTCGAATTCGATCACTGAAAATGTCTGCTCATTTTGTTCAACGCACGCGATTCCAATCGACTACATTTACAAACGAATCAAAGAGATTGGTTTTGATTAAGGCATTTGTGGATTTACAACGGTATGAAACTCAACGAGAAAATGTTCTGCAAAGGAGTTGAAATGAAATGTAAAATGTCATACCTTCTGTGCACCGGTCTGTTTCAAATTGACCGAGATGATCGATGAGCCAACGACCATTTCTGTGTTGTTGAAGAGCAATCCTTCGAACTGAATCAAATTTCCGGGCGATCCTTTGTATTCCAATGTGAATTCACTTCCTTGCGTTGATTTTGTATAGACTTCAACGCGATAGTTTTTGACCAGCAGGAGGTCACGCAACAGAACTTCAAAGTTTCCTTTGTTCAAGCAAACGTAATCGACCGGTGGAACACCATCCGGGGCCATTGTTTTGACGTTTGCCGTCGATTTGAATATCTCCTTGGCAGCACAATGGGCGTCTTCACCGTGCAAACTGTAGTAATCATTTCGATCGAAAAATCGAACTGTCGTAGTTGGTTTCTAAGAAGAAAAAAAAACCATTCGATCCACAATTAGTACAAAAACAAACGGAAATAAAAAAAAACTCTACTGGGTAAATAGTGTGAGTCATTGCAAAAGGAGATGCTTAAAAAAACGCATTCACATTCATCATGTCAGCGAATAATTTACGCTACTGTCTCATCGTTTCATGTTGTCTATTTTCCTCCGTGCAAACGACGTATAGTCATTTCGATCCATTCATTTTTCCCGCTAATTGCTGTGATTTATTTTCGTACGAGTGTTTTCATTTGGCATCGTGACACACAACATTCAAGCCTCACCGCAACTGCCTATACGCATGAATTCGTGTGTTTGTTTTCATAATTTGTGAAAATAGTAGAAACGAGACGGAAGAAAGAAGAAAAAAAAAGAGCGGCTGACGACACACTTTGACTGTGCGCCTGATCGCGTAGAGCGTCCGACTTTTTTTTTCGTTTCGTCTTTGGAGTGAATCTATCAAAAATGAGATAATTAATGGATGCGTGTTTTTATCGATTGAGCGGCGCTATGTAAACGGGCCATAAACCATCATCTGTTTGGCCGATGCATATCACACACTTATTTTTTTTAGCATTTTAATCAGGTCTGAATGAATAAAAACAACGAATGGTGTAAAAATAGCAGCACCAATGTTTTTTTTTTCCTCTTTCCCTCTCTATTGGACAGTTGCACGATAGTCTAGGAATCACCCTGTACGGATGAAAAATAAAATCCGTTACATATTTAGCATATAATCATACACACGCACAGATTCAAGCAGAAGCTGCAAAATGACTATCTCATACACCGTACGCGCCGTTTCTCTCTCGGCATTGAAATGTGTTTGTGGTGTTTTTGGATTATAAATAATTTTCGAAGCGATAACATAAGGTTCAGTCAGTGTTCAAATGTGTTTCGATTCGGTTCGATGTTTTCCATCGTGGTGCAAAATTTCATAACCGTATAGAACAGAAAGAAAAAGGAAAAAAAAACGCGCCACAGGAAATTGGTTTGGAGTGACTCGATTCACTTCTGAACCTTTTTCTCTGTTGTTTCAGTTTTTTTCTTTGTTCATTTTGCGTTTGTCATAATTCTACCGAGTAAATTGCGACGAAGGTGGACAATTGTGAAAAACTGTTTGCTTGAAAGTTAAAAATAAATTGTACAATTCTTGGAATAACGAAATTGAATCAACCGTGAGTGTGTTGTTATTTTCCCTGTGTGACATTAATATTTTGCAATTATAACTCTTCTTTTTCAGAAAAAATAAAATTATAGTGACTTGAAAGAAGAAAAAAAAATCTGGAAGTAAAAATCGCAAGGAAATAAGATTAAACACATCGTTGCTCGATTTAAGCAAACAGGGACAACAAAAAACGAGAACGCTGTAGTACGAAAAAGAAATCATATCAAATCATTGGAAATTCAGAAAATGAGGTCAAAACGCAACACAAAACAGATAATGAGCGTTTTATTTGTTCTGCTCAACATTCTCCTGCTTTGTAATGGAGTCGCGTTCGCCGCACCGAATGCGATCGAAGAATCACATCGCCAGTATCAAGTGAAACGATCATCAAATGGGTAATTTTTGCTCTTGAGTTTTTTTTTTTATTTCTCATTCATTCGTTCGTTACATGTTTTAATGATGATTTTTTTTATGCTCGGAAAGAACAGAGTTCAAAAGCAAAGATGTAGAATAGAACATTTTTATCGTCACTTGAACATGATTTATTGAAAGTTTGTCAGTCAGATGATAGGACCTTAAAATGTTCATGACCTAAATCACACAATAATGATTTTTCCTCTTTATTGTTTCGTCTTTTTTGTTGTCGCCGTCGTTGTCGTCGTTCAGACTCAGATATTCTGGTGCAAATAATGTCCAAGCACAGGGTGGTATCATCGATCGTGTTCGACGTGAGTTGGGTCGCTATTCAACAACAAATGCAGCGAATGGCGTGACATGTACAACCGAATGTCGTTTGTTATCTGGTTACAGTGCTCGCTCCCAAGCCGAATTGGATGCATTGGCCCGTGAAATGACCAATAAAATTGTACACGATTTGCAAACGGGCAAAATTCAACGTGGTCAAATCAATTCGCCAAATTGGTTTGAAAACCGTGTGGCCGATCATTTCCAAAGTCAACAACAGCATCAGCAACAAAGCAGTCAATTCCAACAGCAATCACAAAGCCAACAAAGCTACGGATACATTCAACCAATTTCCACGGGCAATTCATACCAACGCGTCGTTGAGGAACATCACAAAGAAGTTAACCGAAACTCTGCCTATCCGCAAACAATTTTCACTGGCGGCGCAACCATTGTGCATCGCAACAATTGCACGGATCAAATTCATCACGGTTCATCATTACCTCACTTCAACACTCAAAATCATTTCAATCATGAACGCGTTGAAAGCAATCGTCAAGTAAATATCGCACCAACTTTTATCGCTCCAATTGGTGGCGGTGATTCAACGTATCATGTTACGCAAACGTTTGAACGCAAAGAGCAGCACCGAGCACCACAAATGCCAATTGTGATTCCGTCACAAAATTCCTACACACATCAATACGAAGAGGAGCAACGTCAAATCCATCGACAACAGCCAAGGCCACAAATTATCGGAATCAATCAACAGCATCGTAATTCACACGTTGAAACTGAACGAGTTCATAATGTTCAGATTATCACACCCGCACCGACACCAGCCATCACTCGTCAAGATATTTACGATCACTTCTATGAATCGGAGGTGGTGCCAAATTATAAGCCACGCGTCACAATCGACCAAAATACACAGTTCCATGAGCTCGAAGTTCGCAACCGTCAACACTATCAACAACCAACGGTAATTCCAACGGTCACATCACGAACACACATCGAAAAGGAGGAAGAGCAATTCGATCGCCAATATCAACAGAAGCCAGTGATTATACCGCAAGGCTCGAAAAGTATCACTACGAATGAAGAGGTTGAAGTTAGTCGTCAAGTGACTCAAAGACCTTATATTTATCCGACACAAAGCACAATCACACGCACTGAAAACGAAGACGTTCAAACGATTCGTCAACAGACTCGGCCACAATATCCCGTCTTTTCACATACGTCAAATGTTCAGAGCTTCAACGAAAGCCGAAACACCAACACAAACACTCAAACAGTCTATCAACAGCCAAGCGGTCACACGGTCACCACAATCAAGGAAACACACTACATAAACACATTGCCACAACCGGCCAATCAATACACGTACACCTACACCGAGGAGGAATATGTGGAACGTTTGAATCGCATTCAACAGGAGTTGCGCCGTTTGGGCTATGGCACATTGTCAGAAGAGGAATACAATGCAACGATTTCATCGGGCGGTTTTATACATAATGGCTACAAATATTTGTATAATGCCGATCATGGACGTTATGAAAAAACCGAAAAGGTTGAAATCAACGAAGAGGAGTATCATTCACAGTTGCGCGAATTGCAAAATCAATTGCAACAGCTTGGTGTGCAAATGACAGAACGCGAGTTCAATCAAACCATTGAAGATGGATATTTCGTTCGAAATGGAGTTCGTTTTGTGTTTGACTCGGAAACACGTACCTATCATCGCCAAGATATTGCCGACGAACAATACGAAGTGTTGAGACAACGCATTTTGGAGGAATCAAATCGCCACGGATGGGCGTTGACAAGTCATGAGATCAATCAAACCATTGCAACGGGATATTTGATAATAAATGGGCATCGATACAGTTTGGATAAGCAAACGGGTGTTTTGGTTGAGGGACAAGAGGTGCAAATCAGTGAACAGGAATATCGAACGATTTTGCGTCGTCTGCAAGAGCAATTACGTCAATTGGGTTTCGAACAAATGACCGAAACGGAATACAATCAAACGATCAACTCGGGCTACTTCGTTCGTGGTGGTCAAAAGTATCGATACAATGCTGACATTGGACGCTATGAACAAGTTGAAATTTCAGAAGAAGAATACCACGCTATTGTGACCAAATTGAAAGAGACATTACAGCGTTTGAACTATCGTCAGATGAGTGAGCATGAAATGAACCAAACAATTGCCACCGGTTCATTTATTCGCGGCGGATATCAATGGACGTACAACACTGAAACTGGCGAGGCAAATGCCGTGCGCATTGCATCACAATTCGAAGAATTGTCGGAAACGGAATATCAATCAATTTATCGTCGTTTGCAATCGTTGCTCAAACGCTTGGGCTATCCGAGCATGAGTGAAACCGAGTGTAGCACTGCGATTACGACAGGTACATTTTCACGTGGTGGCAACCAATGGGTGTATCAACCGGCTTCGGGTGAATTCGAACGAATTGAATTGACCGAAAGCGAGTATAATTTCCGTATAAATCGTTTGCTTGAAATTCTCACGAAATTGGGCATACAAAAAACATCGGCCGAACAAAATGATATCATTTATCGTGGTAATTTCTATCACGGTGGCCATCGTTATGAATATGATACGACGAGCGGTTCATTTGTTCAGGTTCAAATGAGCGAGGATGAGTATCAGGAACGCAAACGTCAATTGCTTGAACAATTGCAACAAATTGGCTACGGAACGATGACAGATTCTCAGTGTCGCGCCACTATTAACAGTGGCATTTTCTATTACGGCGGTCACGAATGGGTTTACAGCTATGAAAGCGGAAAATATGAAATGGGAAATGTGTCGGACAAAGAAAATGGCATCGTTGATGATAATCATTTCAATAACATTGATCTGGATGACACACACTATGAAACGTCGAAGAAAGAAGACGCCGCCAAACAGGACAAGACATTTGATATCGATAAAATGGATAAGAATAAACGGCCAAAGGAAATTATTAGCAAAAATCGCGGTGATCAACCGCCACAAACATTCGAAGAAGACTACGATGAATCGGAAGAGGTGACACAAAAACCGGTGCCAATCCAAGTGATTCCAACACAAGCCGCTACACGAAGACCAAGACCACCGGTTATTACAACACCAACTCCATTGATTGTATCCACCGTTTCCAATGACTATAGCCGACGCGTTGAAAGCGAACGCATTGTACAATACTCCGTTCCACCGCCCGAAACTGAAATCGAACAGAGATATCATCACAAGAAAACCACATACACCCAAACATCCGGATTCGTAAGTGACAATTGAATGCAAAAGATGGATACAAATGAGTTGAGAAAGAAAAATTGAATTATTTTGATCTGTTTTTCAGGTTCCAGTCAATCAAGAGGTTCTCAGCCGATCACGTAAATCTGGTTCGACTGGCTTTGAAGGCGATGATACTCAAATAAATGGAACAGTGAGTGAAACTGATAAAATGAGAAAAAAACAATTGATATTTCGGCAAAAATCTAGGCTTTGAGATTGACAATGCTATATCGTCTGCATTTTTGCTATCAATTGAACGAACGAATAACCCACTTTCATAATCATTCTTCTCTGTTTTAAATCACGTTTAATTTTGTTTCGATTTACGATTGCAAGAGAATATCTCTCTATAGCCTTGTGTTATTTATGTTTCCAGCCAACGGCCGAGAATCTTGTTGTTGCAACTGAGACAAAAGGTGATATTGTTGCAGAGCCGATGAAAGAAGCCATTGAAAAGGTCGAAGAGACTCCAATTGAATTGCATCATGACGAAGAGCCAACGAAAACCCGATTTTCGGGCCGTAAAAATCCAATCGATTTTTTCGATTCAACCACACAAATTATTGAAACCAAAGTATGAAAAGTAATCGAGTTATTTTTCTTCACTTGGCTAAAGAAATTATTTTGATTTTAATTTGCAGGCTTCAAAAGAGTCAACACCCGGTTTTTGGAATCGTTTGAAAGAGAAGGCTAACAATTGGTTGCATTGAACCAAAAAAAAAAACCGAATGTACATTTTGTTCAAATTTAATTTTGCAATGTTTTTGTTTGTTACTTACGTCGCCTAAGCCTTTGTAGAATCGAATGAACTTCTTCTGTTGATTAACATCTGCAATGAAACATGTAAACAAAATATAACACGCCAATTCAGCAAAACATTATGGAAAATTACCTAAATTTAGCGCTTGCGACGGTTTCACTGCTGTTCCCTTAACATTAGACATCTTTTTTCACTGTTCTGAATTCTGATTCACAAACGATAGAAAAAACTAATAAAATTGACTTGATAAACAAATACAACGGGAATTGATCACTTTATCGTCGAAATTATTTACAGGATACTCTTTCGATTGTGAACAGTTTCAGTTGAATAATTTTCAAAGCGATTGTTTCACTCTGCTTTCAAATTGTGTTTAATGCGAAGTTACGATTTCCCGCTCGTCAAACATCACGAAGACGAAGCAAATGTCAACATTGTTTGACAGCACGTGCTGATACACTTGAGGCAATACTTTCAATATTTCGTTCACTTTCCTTGCAAATGATTTCAAATGACTGCGAACTAATTTTGGTTTTTTTTCTTTCTTAAGAGTCGATGGAATATGAGGAAATGAGTATTTTTTCAATCTTCAACAATTGTTGTAATAATTTTGGAGTTTTTGGTTGAATTAGAGCGTGTTTATTGGTAACGAATTCTGTTGATTGTTTGTGGATTTGTTCTCTGCTAAATATATTGCAATGCCATCTATTGGTCAAACGTTCATTTATTTAATCTTATTGGATTTTCGTGAATTGTGCAAGTTAACTCGCATTTTACTTCGTTTATGCTTTGTTGCATTGATAAATTACATATATTTAATAAAGAGATATAGATTTCATCATGAGTTTTGTCTGAAATTTTCACAGCAATACGAATTTGGTTCTTGCAAAAAATGAATAAGAAAATATATTTTCATAAATAAATTGAAGCAATAAAAATGGAAAACTGAAATGGAATGTTGATTTCAATCAATTTTCCGTTTGAATCTAGCTTGAAACTGATAAAAATCATATGCTATTTTATAATAAAGCATGGAATTACGATAACAGACACACGCTTTTATACATTGGCTTTGGAACTCTAATACATTCTTTTGTTGCCTGAGTAATGAGTCAATTCGTACATGACGATGGTGGATATCTTATCACACACATTTTGCAATCAATCTATTACAAATGGTAGAGAAGACGCGATAATTCAATGTGTCACACTTTTATTGCGAAAAAAAAAGTTTCCATTTTCAGACCATTCATCAACTGACCATTCTAATCAGTTCGATTTAACTGATAAAACCATGGAAGCGTATAAAACGTTGATTGATTTTGCGACGTAGTTCATTTAATCGTTGTAAAATGAAAGCACATCAATTGGCATTATTGTTCGGCTGTTTAGCAGGTAAAATTTTTCGAAAATTAATCCCATAAATAATTGTAGTTAAAGAACCTGGAATTTTTTTCTTCTTATATTCTAGCTGTTGTGCTGTGCAGCACAGCAAACGCTATAAAGTCAGTCAATGCCAACGACAAAGTAGAAGATTCAGTTGTCAAAGAGGACAATACGGCACAACAACAGGGTAAAATCCAAAGTGGGTTCCAATTAAAAGTGAAGGCATCCGATATTTCAAAACCAGACGAATGTTTGGAATCGACCGAAATAAAATTGCATGAAGTGGGATGGATAGTTAAAATGTGTAAAAAAACAAAGAAAGAGAACGACAAACCAGTTCTGGAAGTTTTCCTAAAATCAGTGTTCAGTGATGAACAATCGAAATGGTCTTGTGAAGCTGAAGCGAATTTCGTTTTGAAAAATATCACTGACAAAGAATCAACTATCAAAAAGGATTTAAAAAAACAATTCAGCAAAGATGACCCAAAATTTGAATTTCCTGAATTCACCGATTGGGATAATTTTGAAAAATATTTGTCCACAGAACAAGTAGCAACTTTTGATATCACATTGATAATAAGTCCACCAAACTGGACGAAATTGGAGCCAATTTCCACCGTTTTTGACTTCATAGTTCCAAATGTTAACCTTTATACTTCTCCGAATGGCACACGCTCAAATGAAGTGGTTTTACGTGGAATTAGATGGTATTTTAAGGGGATGAAAGCAAAAAAGGCGGATAAAGACTATTTTGCAATTTTCTTGTATGCTAATCAAAGTGATATGGAATTAAACTACCAACATCAATTCGATGCCAAGGCCATTATCACAGTTTTGTCAAATAACAAAGATGTGAAGCCTCCGTCCAGAACAATCGAACACAAATTCCATTGGAGATCTTCGGCTTGGGGACATATCGATTTCATTGAATGGAATAAATTCACTGATAAAGCCAATCAATTCGTTGAAAATAGCGGAGCCATTTTCAAAATCGATATGTGTGTCGATGCACCGAAGCCGTTGTCGTAATTGATCAAATCAATAGACACTCACAGTGTGTTGCACTTGAAATATTTTGTAAATAATTTGAAACAATAAATCATACATAAATATCAATAAAATTGTGCGTTTTTTGTATGGCTATAAAATAAACTAGATCAAGGGATACTTTACAGATAAATGTAGAACTGTTACATTCAAACCGAGTATTTGATCATACAAGGAGCAAAAACACGTACAGTTTTCACATTTTCTGGCAATAAATGTGATTTTGAGACCATGACAAATCGTCTGCAGCTCATTGAAAACCCTGATTTTCATATTTGAACAACTACCATGAATTTCGTTAGTAATTGAATAAACTTCCAATATTTTTATATTTTGGTATGATACTATACTAATTAAACCATCGCTTTGAATAGAATTATTGAAACGCAATTTATTCCCAATAATTTCTAATCAAATAATGCAATAAAACCATTTACTTTCAATATGTTACACACATGCAATAACGACATGACACCGATTAGACTACTGATGATATCTTATCATATTCAACAGTTCATGAATGGTTTTTCGTATGAATCAGAAACAATCGAACAAAAATCGACACATTTCACAAAACAGCAACTATCTTATCTTTCTTCAGAACAATAGAGATATTTCGCAATATTTGAAATAGATTTTTCACATTAATGGCTATTGAAATGATAAATACCTTAATTTGTGGGCAATTGCAATTGCTTTCGATCCCGCCTGACCAATTTGTGATATTTGATCTTGTTTCATTGTCACACCACTGAAAATGAGAACGTTTTTGTATGGAAGAACATTTTTCTATGGAAAAACTTTGTTGTTAATTTGCGCATTTTTAACGTTATTCGTGGTTATGCATTCCACCGAATATTTGCACGAATAAATAAATTCTGTACACATTTCCAAAACATATACTCTTAAGTGTTGAGCACATAATTCGAGCAGATTGTTTAGTCATCAAGCTCATTTTCGTCGAATGGATTATATCCATTTCAATTTGGTTTTTCTTTTCATATCATTACATGTCACATATTGTAAATTGGTCTTCGATGATCATTTAGATGTGATAATTTTGTTGGGGCTTAATATTGAGCTCAGCATTTGACTTATCTCTCTCTTCCAATGGATTTGCTTCGATTGAGCGATTGAATATACGTGTTTTTGGCATCAACTTTTGATGATCCAAAAATGTATTGCAAAGTTAAAGCTACGTTTAAACTGTTTCATAGATATGAAGCGACGGATTCACAAAAAAAAAACAATTGTTAGACAACTAAATTTGACCAAATTTGGCCATACCTATCGCACATGGAATTTCTGGATTTTTTGAGAATGAAAATTTAGATGAATATATTCAAAATGTGTTATTGCTTATGCGAACGTTCAAGTGGCTACTATTCATATACGTCCCAATGCATAGACACGCACTGGTCACCAAGCCTGTGCAGTTGTATGTATTGTAAATTTTGCACACAGCAACTCGTTCAATACATACAACTGCACAGACTTGGTGACCAGTGCGTGTCTATGCATTGGCACGTATATGAATAGTAGCCACTTGAACGTTCGCATAAGCAATAACACATTTTGAATATATTCATCTAAATTTTCATTGTCAAAAAATCCAGAAATTCCATGTGCGATAGGTATGGCCAAATTTGTTCGCATAAGCAATAACACATTTTCCCCTAAAATTAGTGTAAATTCATCCAAAAACACTTGAAACCGCTATTTCGCACTGTATCTAGATTACTCGTTCCCCTCCGAAATTTTGGTGTGCATTAGATAAAACGGTTGTTTAGCTAAGTTGAATCAACGTTATATTGGTTCGAACATTTTAATTTATCATTATGTCATTCGTGATTAAAATTATTGATTTTAATTTATCTTTTCAACATGATTTTTATTGCCTGATAGAGGAAAAAACGGTTCAACAAATGCGATGGTAATGTAAAGTGCAAACCATATCGATAAGTGGTGATTAAATTGGACTAGCATTGTGTATAAATGCATTGATAGTTGCCATGCATTCAATCAGTTCAAGTTCGACAAGAAAATGGTTCAAGCTATTTCCAGCTAACTTCTGATTTCAATTCATTTTTTTTTTAAATAAATATCAAATTTATTGTTTTTTTTCTCCAAATCGGCAATGAACATCTCATCTGTTCAACTTTCGCCAGCAAAAATCCATCGTTCGGGTGTGATTGCTAATGTTACAATAAACATTTGCGACGATATAAGGAATAAGTTTGTGGAATTGCCGGAATTTCGTCTAAGCGACGCCGCCTGGAGTGTCAAGCTTTTGAAGAAATCACTAAGTAACGGCGAAAACACCGATGTGAAAAATGATGTGATTGCCATTTACTTGGTTTCAAAATTCGATAACGACACATTCAAGTGGTCTTGTGATGCACGGGCTGTATTTAAACTATTACCAACTCAGAACAATGTCCGGGAAAGGAGTGCGATTGTAAAATATTTGTCAAAACAATCGTTCACTAACGATTGCTGTGAACATGGAATCGATAATTTCATCGAATGGAATCAGTTCGTAGAAAATTATGTGTGCAGACAAAAGGCGGTATTTGAAATTGAAATATATACAAATCCATTGTTACGTACAGTTCCGCGAGATATACAGGAAATTGGCACCGTTTTTCATTTTATAATAAGAAATGTGAGCACAGAGGAAGTTACGCACTCCGAAGAGTTCAATGTGCGTGGCATCCGATGGAAAGTCAGAGCCCAAAAGCAAGATGGTGATCTTGCAGTTTATCTTTGCGCCGCAGAAGATGATCTTGACGTAAATTGGTTTTGGAACACTACGGTTACCTTCAAATTGTTGCCATTCATTAGAAGTGAACCCATTGAAAGAACATTTAGTGAAATATTCCGCTGGGGCACGGTTACCTGGGGTACCAGCTTAATCAAATGGGCCGATTTTATTGATCCCACAAAGCACTACATTGCCAATAATTCGGCCATCATTTTTTGTGAATTCAACGTACATGCACCGGAACCAATGTGGAACATTGATCCAATTCGAATGATTCATTCAAATCAATAGTTATTTTAGCGATAAATATAACCTATCTGTTGAAACTGTTTATAAATAAATAAAATTGATTATGAATTTAATGAAAATGACTACACTAAATAGAAGGCTTCGTAGCATACGACACAAAATTACAAAGTATATCGCTTCTATTATCACTTCCAATGGATTTAATTCATTGGATTTTGTATTTTGAGTGAATATTGAGTAGCTATTGATACTGGTTGTGCTGTTTGAACTTATCAGGAAACGACATCTATCAGTGAGATTGGTTTTTATTTTATTCGACTAGCATGTTTTAATGATCTTTGAATCTGTTCCTATTGAAAACAAAAACGACCAAGAGAAGAATAAAAACAACATATCGAACATGATTTTGATACATCAAAAATGAGCCCTAAATCTTGTTTACATTCAATCGGGTATTTCTATATAATTGTTAAATTAGTTTCGGCAATGATCATAATGCCGTTGAAGATAATTTTTCGCACACACTGAATTATGTAAATGTGATTGCGATGCGTGTTATTAAGGCATTATTATTTCCGAATTTCAGCAAATCGATTTAGATATCGGAATAACAACAAGTTGGAACTCAAAATAGCACAGTTGCCAAACGAATAAGCAACCATTCAGTTCTATTTCTGTATAGTTTTTTCCCACCGAAAATCTATTCTGTAATCACCGGTTCGATGAGATGATAAGATTTGAATACTATAAATAGAATTTAAAACATTTATGACGATATTATGGACAAACAAGCCTTGTGACAGACAAACGAAAGAGGAAGGAATATTCCATCCATCTATAAAAACAACGCACAAAATCTATTTTGGACGCAATCCATCTCTTGGTACTGATTGAAACGGTTTGATTTAATTGTTCCACCAGAAATTAACACAATATGTTCAAGGTATGTTTCTTTTAATTTAACTACCAATTTTTTAAGTTTCAATGAGCTCATGTGCAAATTTATTTCAGATAATTCTGCTGGTATTTTCAATTGTGGCCTACTCCGGCGCACAAGGGCCACTTATTCGTGGAATAGAACGTGGTTTGGAGCGCGCAGTTGAAAATGCAGCTGAACGGGTAATTATTTGGAATTATTTCCTTCGGATGCAGAAAATACATTATTTATTTTACTACTGGGTAATAGGTAATAGAACGTGAAGTGCAGCGAGAGAACTTCGGAAGAGGTGGCTATAATAATGGATACAACAATGATGGACTGAATCAAGGTGGATTGGGTGGCTTTGATAACATCGGCGGTGCTGGTCGTCTTAACAATTATGGCGGCGGACTTAATCGATATGACAATGGCGTTCGTCCAATCGGTGGTGGCATCGTGCCAATCGGAGGCGCTGGTATTGGAGGAACAGGAGTTGGACGTAAGTATAAACCATTCAAAAAATAGCATAAAAAGATGCCGAAATACTTAAAAGGTCACATTTACCACAAGCAATTCATTTGATTAATCGTCAATTCGTTTTCTTATTTATTTTTGTTATTTCTTTTTCAGGTGGATATCGGGGACCGGGTGTCTTCTAGTCAATGATCTACTCACGAAATGCATGTAAAAAAGAGTCTACTTTAATCGTAATCATTATTAAGTCATAGTTTTTAATAAACGGTATCAACAAACAAATCGGTATCATCTTGTGGTTCTTATTTGTTTTGATCAATTGATTAATCGAGAAGCAAGTTTAAAAAAAAAACAGACTTTTTATTCAAACGCAGTACTGAGCAAAGTCAGCAAAAAACCAGGTATCAAAATGTTTTGAATACGTTCTTTTTTCCCATGAATATTGACAATCGTTTGTGTATACAGTAGATTATTCCAATGAATTTGCATATTTTATGAACGGTTCCGTGCGAATTGATTCAGCGCTGGGAATCCCACATTGTTTATGTGATTTTAATTACTGTCGATCTCATAGGCTTCATTTCCTATGTGCGCTACACGCTGCTAAGAATAGCATCCATAATATTATAATGCTCAGATTCTGAATCGTATAATATACGCATTATTATTTTGCCATTTCTACGTGAATTGATCCTACGATCAAGTTATATAATAACATATAAAATAAATTATTTTGGTGGTTAAGCAAGAATGACTGAACATGATTTGCAGAAAAACGAATAATTTTTCGGGAGTCAGGCATATAAAAGCGGTGCCAAAATTCCCACCGCACTCATTATCCCATTGAAATCAATCGAAACTGTTTGAAGTGTTTTTGTCTCACACTCGAGATTGTTATAAGTTTTAAAATGTTCAAGATTAAGGTAAATTCATTTTTAATCAATTTCCAACCAAAATGAAACAAAAAAGTAACGAATATACATTTTACTTTCATCCAAATACCAGACTGTCTTGCTTTTTCTCTCAATTATTGTGGCCTACGCTAGTGCACAACTTTTCCAGGGCATAGAACGTGGAATTGAGCAGGGCATAGAGCGTGCTGTTGAGAATGTAGTTGAAAATGTGGCAGAACGTGTAGTAGATAACGATTTCGGAAACAATGGGTACAACGGCTATAATGGTGGCTATAATGGTGGCTACAATGGTAATGGTTATTATGGTGAGTTTACAATTTTTTTTTTTTTTTCAAATTGGAAAAAATACGCTTATAAAAGAGAAGAAAACACTAAACTAAAACGTTTTTTGAAAGAACGATTTTTGATACATAAAGAAAATGACATTTTGATATTAACAGCAAGAAACTTGTTCTCTTTCAGGTGGCTACTAATTCACGATCAAAGATAAAAATGTCGAAATATCAAGATGAATGGAAAAAAATTAAGAAAATTCCAAACTCCCAAAATGTTTATCGTTTTAACCTTTTAAGATGATGTTGTTACAATTTAAAAATATATTCTTTCCAGAATAAAATATTCCGCAAAAAAACACTCTTCGAAATTTATTCAAAATTGTTTACTTTCGAGTTGAGACCAATTGATATGGGTCAAAATCCACACACCTATTTCGGTCAAAAAAGCACCGCATAAATAGAAGAACCGGTTTCAGACGTCATTCATTTTGACTGTCGTTACCATCGTCACGCTCATTTTTATTTTTGGCTACAAATTTGATACGCTTTGTTGCTAGTAAAGTCATTTTTCGCATAGTCCAAATTTGCCATTTTATTTTCGTAAAATTTGTGTGTTGGGAATCATTTATGACATTGGTGCTATTGCGAAAATTTTCGGAAATTACACCGGAAAAAGATTTAATGTACTTATTTTGGCTCTGGGCTCTGACTTTCCACCGGAAGGGACTTATTCAAACGTTATGTTTTTTTGCGGTTGGCCGTTATGAAGATTATGCCAAGGAGAAACAATCGACAAAAACGACGTTGTTTACCTTCGTTTGTCTGATGACATACGCAAAGCATGTAACACGTAACGAAATCAAACTGGTTTATTCCCATTAATCTATCGTCATTCAAACCAAACAAATTAATGTACCGAAGACGATATCAGTCGACATATAAATCGCGGATGAGTGTCTTCACAACAAACAGTCTCAATTTGGATTTCATTGGATACAGTTTCTTCGTGTGATTTGGATTATTTTAGTGCAAAATGTTCAAGGTTTGTTTTTCAGAATGCGTTCAAATGTTAAAACCAGAGTGAAATAAACGTGGAATTTTATTTTTACAGAGTGTAATTGAAACGATCTTCATATTTGTGGCGCTGTCGCTTTTGAGCCGTCACTTAACTAAAGCTGAACCACAAGATTTGGCTCAAAGTTTTGGTTCTATTGACAACAATGATTTTGCTGCTTATCCACACCCAAGATTCGGTCGATTCAGAAGAGCCGCTGATGATTCGGTAGTTTTTCCTAAAGAACAAGTGGCACAGCCAAAAGCGGAAAACGTACAACCAGATCTGCCAAAAGTAGCTAATGAAGGAGATGCAAATAAAAATGGAACCGATGCAGATTTGGAATCACGATTCGGTTTCCTCGGCGGCGGACGACCTGGTGGCTTACTGGGTGGTTTAGGCCAAGGTTTAATTGGTGGATTGGTCAATGGAGGCAGAGGCCAATATGGACCTGGCTTCGGTGGTGGCGGCTTCGGTCCAGGCGGTGGCTTCGGTCCAGGTGGATTTGGTCCTGGCTATGGAGGCTACAATAATTATTATGGCCCAGGCTACGGTTAGTTGGCTAGGTTTTGGTCGTTGATTTGAAAACATTTTGTTTTCAATATTGTTCAAATCTGAGCAATATCCATAGATTTTATATTCCTAAACAGGAAACACTGTTAAAACACTTACCAGTTTTTATTTGCTTGTGAAACACAATGTGAAAAAAATGTATAAGACATTTGGCTTAAATTTGATTTGATTTGTATTTATAGGCGGTGGCTTTGGCGGTCCCGGATTTGGACGTTAGTTTTACTACAAAACCAACCACTACTCATAGTGATTTTACTTGTCATGACTTGTGTGAAATGAAAAATTGTACATGCTCATTATTTATTATTAGCAAATGTTTTTTTAAGAAATTAAAAGAATAGAAAAAATCCTAAAATTTCTGTTTTTACTTTTCCGTACACAACGTGTCAAGGGAAAGTATAGGAATTGGTCCCGAAAACTGTTTTCACAAAATTGGTTTAGATCATCATAAAAACTCATGAAACGCATAGAAAATCACTTTTTGAGACACTTTTCCGTTCGTGTGCCGTCGTCGTCGTCGTCATTGTCGTCGTCGTTGTCGTCGTTGGTGTTTGTTAACACGATAACTCAAAAAATAATTGAGATAATCAAAATCTGGAAATGCCAAAAGTTGTGTATCTGAAAAACTTAGTTTAAGTTTGAAGATGAGCCATTTTCGATTTGACCCTGGGGTACTTGCCCTAAGAAAAACCTCAAAAAATTGACACTTTTGTATGGGAGGTACCTGTAATCCGACTCCGATTGGCTTCAAACTTTATGGAATTTCATTTTTTGGGAGAAAAATAAGATTCTGAAAGTTTGAATCCAATCGGAATCGATTTACGGGTACCTCCCATACAAATTTTTTGAAATTTTGACTGGAATTACCGATTTTTGGACAATTTTGTATGGGAGGTACACGTTAATCGATTCTGATTGGCTTCAAACTTTCTGAGGTTTCATTTTTTGGAAAAATAAGATTCTGAAAGTTTCATGTTGATCGCATTTGCAAAAGTTAAATTTTTTTTCCCCAATTTTTGTCGAAATTTTCTTGGAAAAAATTGAGGGCCAAAAACCAAACTTCATATAAAATTGTCGAAGTTCTAGTTAAAGTGACCGATTTTTCACTTTATTTTCATTATTATATTTTCACCAAAAATAACCAAAAGTACCTACGGACAACGCAGGCCAACGGTACGGAAAAGTTCGGGATTACCAATGTAATTCTTTTTATTATTTCTTCATTATTTGATATTGATATCGTAGCTTTGAAATCATTTAACGTCTCGACTCTCGATGACACAGCTCGCTGGTTCCTTCTTTATATATATCTAGACTCTCTTTGTTGGATGTCATTTCACATGTAAGTATAAACGTGATTTCATATCGTATTATCGAATGAATCGATTAACAATGCAGGAGATAAACTTGGATAAAATCATGGCAATAATTTCGCTTTCATTTTTAAAACCATTGGAACTTTCTGCAGAAGGTTATTTCCATCAAATGTTTTGATCTGTTCCGAAAACAAATGTATATTGAGAGGCGTTGGCTAAATGTCTGACATGGAATCACTTTTGGGAATAGATTCAACCAGTAAGAAATTGTTCAAGCATGGCTTCGTCGAATGAAAAAGCTGATTACGGAAAGCTTAATTTAAAATTAATTAAAATTTCAAACAGTCTTCTGTTTTTTCTGAAATATGATTGACAAGTGTCTATATAGCATTTGTCATTTTGCTATTTTTCTTCAAAACGTCAACAGCGCCATCTAGTTCTTCGTAAGAATTGTACGTTATGAATGGCGCTGTAATGTAACGAAGATATAGGAACCTCATTTACACTAAAAAATTTTTATACATATTTCAAACAACCAAATATGCACATTAGCCTGTCCGCAGTTTTTTTGGAAACGAAATCAACTTTCGAAATCGTATTTATGGAACCTTTTTCAAATTCACGCGAGAAGATTTTGAATTGTCACATAAAAATTATTTTTCTTGGTCAATTTGGAATCGGTATGTTTTTAAAAGACAATTAAGAAAAATGGCCCGTTTTCAAATTGTTACGTTTTTTTGAATTAGCCAATATTTCTTTGTCATTTTGAAATCGGCCAATTTTTAATTCACATATTTATCGCTATCAATTGTATACAAGCTAAGACATCGGTGTCAGTTAATTCATTCATAAATTCGTTGCGCATATCTCTTGCTGATTGTTCTGAGTACGTTTTAACTCATACCAAACGCACAAAAATGGTAACCAGATTTAATTTTGAACAATTCGTCAACATATTTAAAACAAACACACACTCAGGCCATGTAGTTATAAATATATGTAACAAATATCATAACCGCTTCTCGACGTTGTTGTGTAGAGGAATTGAAATGTATTTGTGGTCGCCATGTTGCTCGTTTTTCGTCAAACCTTTCAAATGGTTAGATTCTTTTTTTATCAATTATGGACCTGAAAATTAAGTTTTTCATTTAATTTTCTTTACCAAAATATTCTATTTGGTCCAAGGAATCAAACAAACTATGTTGATTTCGATTCTAAAAAACTATGGACAGTCTAATGCACATCAATACAAATGTATCGAATGGAATATATGTTAATTTTAGCATGAATCTGATCAAAAGGTTAAAATATGCTATTTTTCTTAATTAGATTTTATTCAAAGTTTATTTCTATTCAGTCAAGAAGAAGAATTGAATATTCGCTTCGTTTCGCATCTCAAATTCGTCCGTTCGGTTTAACCAGTCATCTTTAAAATGTGACGATTTATTGACTTCGACACTAAATGTTAAATTGATGGTAAAAATAAATGAGATAAGTGCGGTGATTCTTCACAAAAAACACTGAATATAAAAACTGTTCAACCCATTCTCTACAAAGTGTTTGAAAAAAATGGATTGGTAAACTTATTTTTTATCGTAAAAATGATATCTACAATCAAAAAATTGTTACAAATCAAAAATGTGTCGCACTTTCTTTAATAAATAAACTACCATGAAAAAAGTTTGTTTTTTTTTTTTTTCAAAATTCGTTCCCACTAAATCATTCACTAATCAATCAATCAATCGCAACCGATCGAAGTTCACACCTTTTTCTACCGAAGAAAACACAGCATAAATAGAAGAACCGGTTTCAGACGTCATTAATTCATTTTGGCTCATGCTATTGCCATCAAGCTCATTTACATTTTTAGCAGCGAATTTACATAATTTTGACAGCATTTCACATTTTTTTCGTATCTCTTCTGCTAAGCGAATCATTTATGGTCATAACTGCTGTCAAGTGTAGGAAATAAAACCGGAAAAAGAATCAATGTGCTTGGTAGTGCGTTGGACTTTCCATCCGAAGAGTTTTTTTTTATTGTTTCTTGTGGTTTTTCCCTTCTAAAGAAGATGCTGAGCTGAAACTGTCTCAAGTATTGCGACACAAAATTATGTTTACCTCCGTTTGTTCATGGTTCGCCACGTAATAACGTAAAGCAATAGAACTGGTTCGATCGATCTATAGTTATTCAAACGAAACGAATAATTATACCAGTACATTCTAGAAGATATATAAATTCCGGCGGAATGTTTGCAAAATAAACAGTATCTAATTAGATTTCATCGCAAGCAATCGGTGTATAGTGATTCCATTCTATATTTCGTTGAGCAATTTCGATAAATTCAGGGCAAAATGTTTAAGGTTTGTTTTTCGATGCATTCGAATATTAAGACCAGAATGAAATTAACTCAGTATTTTACTATTACAGAGTGCGATTAAGACGATTTTCGTATTTGTGCTGCTGTCACTTTTTAGCCAGCATTACACTAAAGCTGAGCCACAGAATTTAGTTCAAGGTTTTGGCCAGCTGGCTGGATCGGCTCTAGGTTCAGCAGCCGGAAGTTTCGCTCGTGAGACGTTCGGTGGAGGACGTGGTTTTGGAGGGCAAAATGGTGGTTTTGGAGGTCGACCTGGTTTCGGAGGATTCGGCGGTGGTCCAGGTATAAACTAACAAGATTTTTCAGGACTCTGCAGAAGAATTTCAAATTTTTTTTTCGTTCGATCGCATTGCGATCACCGCAAAACAGATTGTTTTTCAATGTTATCAAAAAATATTTCCTTTCAAACAGGATTTGGTGGCGGACGAGGTTTCGGCTATCCTGGATATGGTGGCTATGGTGGGTATGGTGGAGGCAGAGGCTTTGGGCCAGGATTCGGACGTTAGATCGCTGTTATCTCGGCTAAATTTTCAACAAATCAAACCACATACTTCGCATACTCATACGAATTTATTTTGTCATACAGTGGAACCTCGGAAATTAGAAGGTGTTTATACTTTGGGTACTTCTAATTTCTGAATTCTTCTAATTTCGGAGGCAATTTTTTTTGCATTAATTTTGCAATTAAATGAACAAAATGACACTACAGTAACACCAGAACGAAATTCCCAAATAAAAATATAACTTTGAAACAAACTTTTAGCAAGATTCCAATATTTTTGATACTCTGCCTTAATAATTCTTAATAATATTCCAATTAAATTAAAAGAATTATCAGACAAAACAATTCATTTATTTCGATATGAAAGTTTATAGAGCAGCAATGGAGCGGAGGATTCTCTTCTAATTTCGGAGCATACTCCGAGCATATATATGGAGTTTCAATACATTACATTTGGTACGGGCGTCCAACTCCATCTACGGATTTTTCCAGTAGTTGTGAATCGAGTAGATATATAACGATTTCAACTATTTTTGGGCGAAATTATCTCAAAAATATACAAAAATGAGTTATTTGTTATGCGAACGCTCAAACGGCTACCGGAAATGTACGCGCAAATACATGCACTCGAGTGTATTGTAAATTTGTCATCTAGTAACCATTGCATGTCTACTGAATCAGTGCGTACATTAACCCTTTGATGCACAATTTTTTGTTTTTGAATCATTTTGACATATGTTTTGTGCCACGATAAATAGAGAAAAACCTCATGCTTAGATTTTTGAAAAATTGCGTATTTGTCGAGAAAATCGGAAAAGAGTTAAAAGTGTCAAATCACTATAAAAGCTTGAAAAAATTAAATTTCATAAAACTAATGATGCAGAAAGTTAAATTGATGTGTTTTGGTCCTACGAGTCCTAATTTGACAATTGAAAAGAATGAACAAACCCACAAGATAAGAGGAGGAAAAATGTGGAATTCTGCTATAATTTCGCATTTTTTTTACAGCAGTACATGAACAGAAAAATCTTTCCATTCAGCCAGCCAATTGTAGCCTGTAAAGTATCAAATGAAAGCTAGTTCAATTCCCTACATTTGTTTCCAAACAAGAATGTAAAAATATTCAGTGGTTTCATAGCTATAGCGTCTGGCGTATCTGATTACTTTAGGAACCGAAATGTGATAAAGGGTTAACAGTAGTCGTTTGAGCGTTCGCATGACAAATAACTCATTTTAGCATACTTTTGAGATAATTTCGCCCAAAAATAGTTAAATTCGCAACTCAATAGAACACAACTGCTGGAAAAATCCGTAGATGGAGTTAGACGTTTCAAATACGTCATGCTCTCGTTATGTTTCGGAGGAATTCTAATTTCTGAGGTTCCACTGTATTTATTGTTATAAAATGTTTCGAAGAAATTGAAAATATATCGAAAAAAAACCCTAATAATTTGGTTGTTTTTTCTCATTTTGATATTGCCATTCCGTGGCGCCCCATCCTTTGACACCGTTAACCTTGAAATCACACCATGTCTCAACGAGACAGCTTTCCGACTGTTCACCTATATAGATATTCGTTTTCGTGTGCCGTTTCACATGTACGCGATACGAATCATTATCTATTGATTGAAATAGTAAAATGTTAGCATTGAACAAAACAAATCACACGCATCCCACGGCTTCAACACTCACTTGCAACGAAGCCAAAATTATAAGTTTCTGGCGGATCGTGTTTGTCGTATTCATTCAAATCGATCGAACAGCTATCGATTGGAACATTGATGTTATCTTTTGCTTTGGTCACAAAACCGATAACGAGCCTGATTGCGTGTAATATAAATTAAAAAAAAACCGACAAAGTCATTATTGTTTGTTACTCGGTCAAAAAAAGCATTTATTATACCTTGTAAACATAACCGGCATCGAGACTACACCGATTGTTATTGCATTCCCATTGTCCAGGCGAATCATGTGAATGGCATATCGATGAAAGTCATTCCAATCTCGTTTTGCGCCAATCGTGCGATCACGCATACCACTGGTTTTTATCGGATATTGGCTGCCGTTGATTTTCACGATACCCTCAACGTCACCGTACTGCTCAAAATGCGTTTGATGGTGACTGGTTTTGAGCGAGATAATGTGTATATGATGATATTTTTAAATCGATTTTTAATTATCGTTTGAATGATAAAAACTTGAATTTTTTCTAGCAGTCCAGCATTTTTTTCGTAGAAAATGTCCAAGTTTAATGACATTAAAGACAAATATTTGATCAAAATTTTTAAATTTTATCAAAAGGAACTTACGTTTTCAATATTTCGAACCACTCTCTGGACCATGGCTGAAGTGCCATTGCTTCGCTCATTGCGATCGTGCTAATATCTGTGGAGAAATTGAATGCCGGTAGATTTGAACGCCAGACCGCATTCAGTTCAACGTCAATTTCTTTGTATGGTTCTGAATCCAGTAGCAACATTTTCCCTATATATTCGATGCGGTATTCCTTCTTTGGCACCATAGATGTTATTTTCAAGCCAGCCACGGTATAGCAATTCATTACTTTCTGCTCTTCTGCCGTTTGATAGAGTGTCGTTTCTGGGAAACTCGGTAGCGTTAGCAAATTGCTACTGAATTCAGGCACTTTTATGAATCCCAATGAGTTTATGAGCCCATTTTTCCGTCTCGCTGCAGAGAATACTAAAAGTTGGTGGTTTGCAGCACTCGTGTTGTAATACACCGCATCAACGGGCTGTAATAAGGCAGACATGCTGTTACTTTTCTATTACTGTTTGGTTAGTACAATTTTAGTAGTTTTTAGCACTAGAACTGCAAAGCTCTTACTACAACTTTGCTTCAGCGATCTATGCGTTATTATTTAATTTTGCGATTTGGGGAAGTGTCTGTAAAGTGTAAATGTACCGAAATTCTTGAAAATTACCTTTGGCCGCTGCGGCTAAAACGTATTTTTGCCAGCGACCAAAATACCAGCGGCCAACTTACACGGAGCCGACAAAAACATGATATTTACGTAGATAATGACCAAAAAATGAATTTTTAATCGTCCGGAACGACTTTTTACCTCCGATGAGTCACCGGCGATGTGTCGGATGAATGCACCCGGATTATCACTTACCATTTCATCAGCATCGGAGAATGTTTGTAGTTGATCAACCACATAGTCGGGCATGGCTTTCCGCTTTCCCAATTTCAACAGAAGTCTAGCCACCATTCGCTTCATGTGAAACCGAAAACTGTGATGTTTTCTATAGATTGGATTTCGAACATCGCACGAGATGCACTGTTCATAGAATAAATCCAACAGCACAATTATCATGAATAGTGCAAGAAACACCAAAAACGGACCAAATAAATCACCCAATTGAAATGTATCCATTTTGTTTGGTTTATTGAATTGATTATGATGACCTGTTTACATCTAAATCCACTGAACGACTGATTTTCCACAATTTTACCGCCGTCGATTTATTTGTGAACAATAACACCAGAAAATTGCTTTTATAGCCATTCAACAGTTTTACAATCGCCATATTGATAAGAAAGCCGATGCTAACTCTCATTCGATCGGAATACAAAGGTGACGAAACTCAACAATACACTCGAGTTCAATCCACAACACAATATGCTGCAAAAAAAGAGAAGCTAAATTTACTGTGTCGAATCAATCGGGCGCGCTGCCTATGACCAGTGGAGTGCTGTGTTGATTTGAAATGCTACAATCAGCAAATGTGCTGATAAACAGATAATTTTTCTTTGTATTTCATTCGCACGGTTTATTTGGTTTGCTGATAACGGATCGATTCGAATCAACTGTCAACAGTGACAGTTTGAATTTAATGAGTTGCAATTACCCGATGTTAATCATCGCTTCTTCGGGTAGCTGATAGCATTTTTAACGAAATTCACCGTATTTGGATTTAATTCCGCAGACATAACATAAACAAAAACAAAAACAAAAATAAAACCAGTTTCAGACGTAACTCCCGTGCGTCGTTCCAGTCAACCGCTTTTGTGTATCAGTCAGACATCGCAGTTCATTTGCATAATTTCAGTAATGATGAATTTTTTTGGCAATGTACGGCTTGTATGAGTCATTAATGTGTTCAGGAAGGCATAAAAATCGGCAGTTTTTGAATTGGTTCCTATTTTGCAGTCAACAAATTTGTTCAATGTAATTATTTTGGAAATCCCATTGTTTACCAACATATGGCGCGCCAAAAAAACACCAAACTATTCGCAACTTAACATCCTAGACAGACTAGCGTATTTTACCATATTTCTGATAATGATTAATCATTGTGAGCTACAAACATACGCAGCCATAAGACTTCTTTGATCGTTTGAGTATATATATATATTAGAAGAAAACAGCTTCAAATCAAACAGAAGCATTTGAGACTTCATTAGAGTCAATTCGCAAGTCTATATTCATTCTGAGTGAATTAAATACAATTTAAGAAATTAACAAAATGTTCAAGGTAAGTTTTGAATTCAAATCAACAACAGAACTGAGAAAATTAAAAAAATTTAAAAATAATTTTTACTTTTTTTATAGAAGATATTTGCAATGATCGTGCTTTTTGGAGTGTTGGCAATTCTAAGTCAACACACCACTAATGCACAATTTGTACGACGTTTCGGTGGATTCTATCCTGGATATGGTGGATTTGGCGGATTTCGCCCTGGATTTGGCGGATTCCGACCAGGCTTTGTCGGTTTCAGAAGAGGCCCATTCGGTTTTGGTGGACCTGGATTCTATGGTTGAAAAAATTTAAATGCCAGTTCAAATTGTAAATAATTTCATACACTATGCAAAGAAAAGTACTGAATAAATTTATTTCTATTACTCACTATTATGATATCACAAACCAAATTGCTTAATAAAAGAAAAATTTTAAGGATAAAAAACACGTTTTCGTCATAGATAATAGGGTAACTTTATTTTAGTTAAATTCGCATTTACATTTAAATGGCTGGAGCATGATCTGGCTCATGGACGTCAAGCTCATGGATTCCTCGAAAATCAAGCGTTTGAGTTCCTCTCGTGGTAAATCATCCAACTCCACATCCATTTGGAATGGATTGTCATCAACAGGCTATTTGAAAAATGGGAAATAAGACAATCGCAGGGTTAATCGTTTGTAAAATTTAATTCATATAGGATGTCTGTTGAATATACCTCATCATCTGGGACGTAATACAGTTCCAAATATGGATGTGCCAAAGCATCTTCAACCGTAATGCTATTGTGTGGATTGAATGTAAGCATTCGGTCAAGTAAATCGAGTGCATTTTTATCTGTATTCGGAAACAACCTAGTCCATGGTACTTTTGGTTTAAAAGGCAATGACTAAAGGAAAGTTCGTGCCTAAATATCATAAAACAATCGAATAAATGACTCAATCAGAACAAATCGAATGAAAATAGTCGAAACATTTCGACAGTTTTTCAATAAAAATTCGAGCACTTTAGAAAGTAAAGCCAAATAAATTTAATCTAACTGATTTCGACTAGATTTTTGAAACATTTTTTAATATAAATGTAACCCTATTCGATGAGAAAAACAAATGTCAAGTTTTATCACAAAGAGAAGGAAGGATGGACGAAAGATCTATAATGAAGATGCGATTAAATACCTTTGAATTCAACATAATTTCCGGTGCGCGATACCATCTCGTGGCCACGTACTCCGTAGGAAATCCAACATGATCGTGATCTGCTACTCGAGCCAAACCAAAATCACAAATCTATAAAGGAAAAAGAAAATCGCAAATATGGTCTTTGCTAAGGCGTTCTGTTTTCAATATTTGATGTAAATCCTAGGGGAATTTAACTCTTACGAGTTCAGCATGTTTTCTGCCAGTTTGCTTGATTCGTGGAAGTTCGACGCGTTCGTTGTACGTACTGACGCGCACGGTCACAAGTTTACACAAGTTTGTTTATGGTTTTGCGCGTTTTTCAAGTTGTTATTTGACAACTAAAACGCGTTTCAAACTAAAAATCGGTTGTTTACGTGTATAAAGATTTTTCACATCCTTTCCAAAAGTTCAAAGATTTATATAATTATAAAATGGACAAAGGAAATATTTTTAAAGAGCTGGAGAAAGTGTTGGAAGAAAAAGTTAATCCAGATATAAATGGAATGACTGATGTGTGCGCGTCGTCCAGCTTCATGTTTGTACACGAACTCGCACAAGTTCGCGCATGTTGTTTTAATACGGAACTTGTCATTTGAGTGGAATCATGCAAGTTCTCTGGTGAATGTAACAATTTCGTGCGCGTTTTTATCATTTTTTTACAAGTTTTCACGTAGTTAAATCCCCCTAG